TTTTGTCCCATCATCTCAGGATTCTTCTCAGCCATCCAATTCATCCTGTTTACAAGAATGAAGATTAGTTAACTTTTTTGGTTTGTGACACAAAAAACTTATTGCAAAAGCTATGAGTTCAAAAATTAAAATCACTAAAACTAAAATCTCTGTCAGATTTTTTTGCGTTAAAAAGATCTAATACTCGATCCCTAAATATCTGCATCTTTAGTGATATTAGGGAATAAGCATGTAAAGAACTACAGATCAGATCTGCAAATTCCGTCAAGATCTCCATAATCTCCAAACAGTATTCAATAAGAATGGAACTAGATGTCAGATTTAGACTACTGAAACGTTACTAGATATAGCATAAATTGGAAAGTTGAGCAGTAAAACATTATTGGAATCAAAACAATTACATAAGAAAACTTTATATAAATTTACCTTTCCAACCATAAGATATAGGGGCCTCGGACAAACCCACAAAACCAACTCTTGAAATGTTATGAACACCTAACTGATACCGATCTGATTCTACTAGGCTGACAACAGAATACAGATCAATGTATAGTGTGAGTGACTGGCTATACAGATCAATGTATAGCGGATCTTTACCAGTTTTTTGATCTATCAGCATGATTTTCACGACTGAAAAAAGACAAAAATCGATAACTTAATGAAAACAATGCATGATTTTCAGATAAGTAAGAAACGATTGAGAATTTGAGATCTAGCTAGACTGATAGGGTCGATAACGACAGCGGCTGTGAAATTGTATTGAAATGAAACTGAACATCGTATATATAGTGGTTAAGAAATGTGTAGGCGTAACCCTATAACCCTGATCTCTAGCGTTGATGATTTGCATCAACCTCCCCTACTATTGTACATATCTTCAAATAGAGCCCAAAGGTTATGCAAAATGACAGTTTTGCTGCTTGATGAATAAAGTGCTACTTGCTTTTTTATTTGTAATTTTCTTAACGGGCTCTTTTATGTAAATGGCTACAATAGTTGTATAGCTTTTTTTAATGTAAATCTAATTATTGATAAACTACTCTTAGTTCAACATGTGCCCAGCAGAACAATTGAACCCTCGATCTCAAAGTAGAAAAGCAACACCTGGATTGACTAGAAGTCTTTTGGTAAATATAAACAATACTCTTTATTTTATTTATTTTTTGGAAAAGCATTTGATACATTTTTCTTTCTTGTTTAAGTGCAAATATCTTTCATCATTTGACATTATAAATATTCCAAGTTGAGTATACCATATTCATGGTTTAGCCTTTCAACATGAAATGGTTTAATTAGCGCAAACTTAATATAATTTTTGGCTACAAAATTAATGGTTTCACTAAATGTTAAAGTATAATTAATGTGTTAAATGAAATCAAAATAAATATGTATACTGCTAAATATATTTATTTTAATTGTAAATTAAGGGGATGTTCATAATTAATCAACATAATGTAAGATTGTGCCTATATTTATCGTTTAACATGCCCTTCAGTTAAAATCAACAAGTCAAAGAAAGCTTGACGATAAATATTCAGTTTATGAATGTTTTGTCCCAAAGTTTATTTTGGTTGATTATTGGATTACTGACACCCGATGTTTTGATATTAGCACATTATCCTACATGAAATGCAACTTTGCATTTTAAGTATATTTGGATTCCTTTTCTATTTCAAGGCAATGTCAGTTTTACAACATATGAGAGACACTTGAATGAATTTTGATAAGCATGTGAGAACCACAACACATGCACAAACTTGCTATGGATGATTAAAATTTGTTGGTAAATATCCATTGATTTTCAATTATTAAGTGCCAGCAAGGCATAGTATTGAATATTTATCGGAATATATTTGTGAATTTGGTATAAGTTTGAAAACTGGTGGTGGATTTATGAACTTACCAAAATTAACTATGGGTAATGTAATAATTTTGTAAGTCATCTCTTGCATCTTTTGCATGGTACTACACCATCAGTAACACGAAGAAACCCTAGACTCCTTGTCCGATACAACATATCTCGCCACTAATGCTCTATATTCATGAACTAACAACAAGGGGAAAATAATAATAAAAAAAGTGGTAAAACATCAACACAATTGTAATTTGTAGGTTTTCTCACTACTACAAAATGAGTCTAATGCAAACTTTTGAAGACAACCTTTTAGTATAATTTCTAATTTGTAATGTCCCAAAAATACTAAGTAAAAGTTTCATTTTTAAACAACCCAAAAATATTAAGTAAAAATTTCATTTTTAAACAATCCCTATTAGTCCCTTTCATAAACGAATCTGCATGAACAGGAAAAAACAAATCATTAATTTATATAAGTAACATATTTTATCTTATACACATAATATAGGCAACATACTTAATCTTTTACACATCGTCACTTCATAAGGAAAGAAAACAACTCTTTTAACGAATATAGGCAACATACTTAATCATTTACACATAATAGCAATGTACTTACCTTTTAAGTTTTCCCAAAGAGTCAGAAGCAAAATCACAAAAGGGAAAGTTTGTTACCATCAATCACTTGCTCTGTTTGTACAAATACCAAAGTGTGTATTAATGAAAACAAGACATATAACATCTAACAATGAAAGATATAAAGAATTAACAATGATTTATGTACCTTCACCCTTCCTCGTGGTCTTGATATCGACAACCCATCCCTAAACATGAAAAATGTTGAAATAAGAAGAAAAAAAATATTAAGAGAGTTGATTGAACATCATTAAATTTGATTCCTGATAACTAGTAAGAAATAAGATACATCTCATGAGAATTAAAATGGAAGTATGGATCATTTGCTTCAGAGGTCATTGCTAGTAGTTCTTGTATAGAATTAGCTAAATCATATCACTCCACAAGTTGCTGCAAATGTAAGTCATGGATGTAATCTTTATTCTCAAACAAAACAAACAAAAATCATGTTTTTTTAGATTAATTAGGAAGTAAATCAAACCCATTATCAAGATTCATCAAGTAGAGATACTAAAAACGCAAAAGTACCTGAAGTAGAGCAGATCCACCTAGTCATCTTTTTAGTTTTACCAAATCATTATGAACAGATCCACCATAAGCTTGAGCTATAAATGAAAGACTATGTTTACCACCATCAATGGAAATTTCAAGATCAATCATGGTTTCTTATAAATTAGGGCTTACAGATAAAAATCAGGAACATATTACCTTGAGTGGAATCGTACTCAATGCAATATTTGATCTCAAAAACGAAATAGGGAAAGGAATAGTTTGGGAACTAGGGCGACGATTAAAATTTGTAGAGGCTATGATGGATGTGTGTCTTTGGAGGGACACCACGTTTAACAGAACATTTTCAGATAGACCGCCTGAGGTGAAATCGAAAGGAAATGAGAGATTTGTACCTCGATAATACTGCTTCACCTTCCTGGCTCTAAAAACACCATTTCTCTTATTTATTTTTTTCAAAAGCCCTAAACATTAAAACCGCATAAACAGATTGAAAGGTACATTATGAAATTATAGATAAAGATGCAGAATTGGAAGGAGATGAGAGATCTGTACATGGAACTTGACTGTTATTTGTTGCTAGAGAGAGATGACGAAGCAGACACATGTCAAGCCGATTTTAGGTAATGCATGGGAGCCGGAGTGGAGGCGGCGCCGATGAAGCGCTATAGAGAGCCGATGGAGCAGGGTAGAGGAGTTTGCAGACGACTGACAAATCTATCACAGAAGAGGGGAGGACCGGTAGCAATAAGTAGGGGATGAGATGAGAAACGAGAGGAAGCAGTGTAGAGGCACAGTGGGTGTGAAGATTGTGGTGGTGGGGTGGAGGTGTTGGTGTTGGTGGTGTTGACGGAAGTGCTGCTCGAGATTGTAATCGCGTATGGGGAACATCATAGGTTGGATACGACGTGTATTTGGGTCAGCGCCAAAGGTAGTGTGTGGAATCACTCGCATTCGTTTCATTCTAGGGGAGAAGCAAAAACAGATCGGTCGTCGATTAGGGTGTGTTAGGAAGATTATGAAGGAAAGCCAAATGAAATGGGGAGAATTTGGGACTTTTGAAAATTTGGAGGCTTTCAATATTTTCATGAATTTGGGTGGTTAAAAACATACAATTTGATGAGTTATAAAAACTCAAACTCTCTCTGAATACTAGTTTCATTTTTCAACATTGGTATCGTAAAACACTTATAGTGACATATTTTTTTATTGATACTATTTTTACATTTGGACACACATAAAACTTAAAATGTCACGATAAAATACTTTTAGTTACATGTTTTTTTTAATGTCATAATAGAATACTTACAGTCACATGTTATTTTTTCATATTCAAAATTATTAATTTCAGACATACATATGAAATTAGACTGTCATCATAAAACACTTATTGTCTCGTGTTTTTTTAAATGTCATAATAATATACTTACGGTCACAATGATTTAACCTGACTATTGGCTGGTATTTGTTACATTTTTTTTTATGTAAAACAGAAACAAAATGTGTGAATATAGTCTGCAATGGTGATGGTTTTTACTAAAATATGTAACTAAAACATTACTAGACTTTGATTAATGACTTTTAATGACACAATTAACCAAATCTGTGACAACCATGTTTCTGAAAAATGTGGTCATAGGTCATTTTTGTACTAATTTGTGGTGTTTCTGTGTTGCGCCCGGCCTCAAAGTGAACCTGGTTAAAAGTAAACTCATGCTAACTTGTGTTACTAACTCGGAGGTTTAAAACCTACCTACTTGGTTGGGTTGCGCCATAGGTTTGTTTCCTTTCTCCCATCGTGGTGTTTCGGTGGGTGCGAAGATGACGAGAATATCATCTTGGAAAACTATATATTATTGAAAATTCTCATTCTAAATAATTTTTGTAGAAGGTCCAATAAATCACTTTTGGAGATGGAAAATGTTCATGGTACCCTTGGAACCTACTTGTTCTATCTTTTCAAGGTGGCAAATGGAGTCATCAAAAGATTGAGAGCATCCTATTACAAATTCTGTTGGGTTGGTTTGGATGACAATCAGAAAATTACTTGTATTGCTAGGGAAAATGTTTTACATATCAAGGAAAAGTTGATTTCAACAATGGCTAATCATTTAATTAATCTCGCTTTATTGGGAAAATGGTTGTGCTGGTTCTATGCTGACTAATGGTCTATCCCAAAAAAATTTATAACGACACTATGGGGAGAGACAGAATGATGGCTTGTAAAAGCGGCATTTGGGGCAATATCATTAATCTTCAGACTGATTTTAATTATTTGAATTTGGACTTTCTTTCCATGTTTTCTATCAAAATCAATAGGTCAAGATGGCTTGAAATCAAGGATGGCAATTTCTCGGCGTACTCCTTCAGGTTCATAAATGATGAGGTTTTGTCAAAATATAATACGTGCAACAATATATGGAATCGCATAGCACCTGCCAGGCAAACATCTTTGATTTGTTTTTGAGGTTATACCATGTGGGTTCTCCTGTAATAAGATAAAGCATAACAAGATCAAGCTGCCTGTCACCTCTGCTCTGATGGCCCTGTTGTGGATAATGTAGATATGGTCACGAGGTTGTCTTCAGTTGCAAATCCAGGAGCAACAAAGAGTTAGTAGCTGACATCCAGCCTTCGATTGGTGAAGTATTAGAGCTAGAAAAGATGAATAGTTTTGTTGGTTAATCTGGTCCATCGACCCTCGCAAAGATTGCCTCAACTAAATGTAACTCTAGCCTCTCACTAGCTTTGTTTTTATAATAAAAACACCCTTTTGTTTAAAAAAACATCATATAATTAATGCCAACATATATTTTTTGTGACTTATTGTGCCTATTCAATGTCTCAGTAGATATGAAAAAAATTTCCAGCAATAAAGGCCGAACTGACATTTTCTAATAGGGGAAAGTATTGAAAGGTTAATACATTTGAAATGTTGTTCCTTTATGAAACGTGTGCTGGCATGTCTCATAAGAAAAGTTTGAGTGATATGAAATATGTTTATATAGGACCTTGTGGTATTCAAATTCATATACATACATTGATACACATACACATACGGATATCCATTTCATATATATTTATGCTCATACAAATACACTGATAGAAAATAAAACGGGTTCTAAACAAGGATTAATCCACCCTGCAGCCAAAGAACACCATATCCGCTACTTTTATCAGCAAAGACTTGTATAAAGCTCGACCAGCAGATGTTTTGTACTTAGGCTTTTTTAATCGATCGAACTAGTTGATGTATCTGTTGGGTTAATCGGTTTGTTTAACGGGTTAACGGGCAATGGGCGAACGGGTGTCATGGGTTATTAGTTGACTAGGTTTGGAGGAAATAACGTGGCTTAGTTGCCACTTAGATAGGAGCACATGGTCCAGCTAGTTTTTAGCATAGTTTGTTATTTCTTGTTGTTTAAATAGATGTAGTTGTACTCGTTGTTACAGGGAAGTGAATAAGAAAGATAATTCCTCGGTCTCAAAGCTCTCTTCACTTTTATATATGTGTTACTTCGTGTATTAAGGGACCTGATCCAACAGTATCCCGATATAAAGTTCAAGTTGGCCCCTGTTATAACAAAGGTTCAGGTTTATTGTTTTCTCAATTTGTCTAATACACTAAACTGAAGAGGCCTATCCGGTTAATGGAATAGGTATGGTCCGGATATATTGACTGACGAAATTGGCAACCCTGATGCACACATGTGGCCGGTAGATGATATCGCCTGAGCAGATTAAGTCTGAAACGAAACATTAACCCGTAAAACTATAATGAGTCCATAATAAACTTGACAACTGCAAACTGCACATATTAAAAATTAATGATTTTAACATGAAGATGTGATGACCATCATTAATGTTTTGACCATCATTAATGATTATGCAACTTACAGGGGAGCCATTCTTTCTTGTTTACGCTCCCCTACTGAAATATACAAAGGTTTTGTCCCATCATCTCAGGATTCTTCTCAGCCATCCAATTATATATATAATAAATTGTGAGGACGCTTATGCACAGTGAGTTTTTGCTTTTCTGAATTTTGCCACAGATGTTTGTGGGATTTGCAGTTTGGCCCCTGCCTCCCTTAACATCCAATCAATTTTTACTTTTCGCTTTTCTGAATTTTGCCACAGATGTTTGTGGGATTTGCAGTTTGGGCCCTGCCTCCCTTAACATCCAATCAGTTTTTACTTTCCGATCGGAGCCGGATCCTTCCCCACCGACTCTCTCATTCAATATCTTCCTCTTCCCGATTGTTCTAATTTTAACGCAACAGATATTCCACCGCCTTAACATAGGTACACATTTGAAACATCCCTTTCATCTCTCTTCTAATAGCTCCTCTGCAACATCCCCCGTTAGTCTTCCGCCGCCTCCTTGTCTTTTCTACTAGCACCTGACGTCGCTGTTAACAAGCACCTCTAACCTTCATCGAACATCTTCAACAATCGGCGAAGACTTCACAGTTTTGAGGTTTTTGGCGCCGGTTGGGCGACGATGGCGCTTCTACCGGATGACGTTGGTCGGATAATCTGTTACCGATGTTGAGCCGCAAACGGATTTGAGGTTATCTGAAACCAGCTGAAGCCACCATCTTCCTCCGGAGAGAGCAGCGACAACCTGATAATGTTCAGCCAATGTTGCTCATGCGTCTTCTGGTCAGTTTTTTGGTATGTGTAATTACAATAGTAATACTCTTTCTTCTTTCGCTTAATGCTTTGATTGTAATTCCACTTGATAATCTCAATTAGGGTTATAATTTGTGTGATTCTTCGGTTTGATCCCCTTGGATTCCGAGCTTTCTGAATTCAAATATCTCCATTTCAATTACGAATTCCATTGCTTTTAAGTTTGTGGGATTACCTGATTCAAGTGTGTTTAACATGCGAAGATAGTAGAAATGAATATATGTAACATATGTTCTTAATCGGTTTTGATTTTTTCTAACTTCAAAGCTTCTTTGTTGTAGACAATATGATCAATAACAAGGTGAAATCCGGCTCAAAAATATTCCAAAATTCAGACAAAAAAGAAGGTATAGGGCAAATGATCAATACCTGCAATTCAAAGCACACACATAACACACAGACCTTGAATGTTCATCATCTATCCACTTTTTTTTTGGTAATATGAATGTAAGAATGCATGTACTTTACACCTGTCACTATGTATTACTAGCTATGAAGTAATTTCGATATGCATAGTGACATATAATATTTTGCTATTCTCGATGTCATCATAAGTTTCACATACTAATTTTGATCCATTTTTTTGATAAACTTTTTAATTCTTATCTGTTCAGAAACTTGAGGATGACTCCATTAGACATACAGTTTAGAGGTTGGCAAGGTATCGTTTTTAAAGGTGTATATATAATCTTAAACAATTATATGTTGTCTTGATGTAGATTTGTTTATCATTAGCTTTATTTTTTTTGTTTATTCTTAATTGAAGAAGCAATCTGATATTTTGTTAAATTCTGATTACTTGGATGCTATGTGGCTTACCTTAAGAGAAAATTATCTGCTTCATGAAGCCACTGCTTCTGAAAAGGTACTTTATTAAACAAAAATGTTCACATTTATTTTGCTTATATTGTGAAATTTAACTATTTATTGTCTCAAACTAATCTACAGGTCACTTATGAAGACTTTTCCCAAATTGCTTCTCTATGTACAGAAAAAATGGCTGAAAGTGTTATTGTTTCTTCAGCCCTTCAAATTTCATGAAATTTGGAAAAGATGAATCAGGAAGGATTCTCATTCTTCCTTTTTATCTGAACGTAATGTGCATGATGAGATTCTATGAAATATAATTTGTTACCTGTAACTTTTTACATATAAATTTACACAAATTTCCAGTAGAAGTATAACTTTTAATATAAAAAAAATCATATTATTTACAATGTACAAGTTTCTCTTACTCAAGCTAGAATTGATGTGAGTGAACTTGAGGAGAAGCTTGTATTGTTTTTTCATTATTATTAACTTACTAGAAATTAATCATGTTTCTTAAAACTTTAGTTTTATTTTAATTTTTATGAACATTGTATATTTGTATGACAGGAAATGGAGGCTTATATCAGAGGTCTTATTCCTAATTTGGCTTAGCTTTGTGACATGCCTACAAAATTTGTTCAAATGTATTGCCACATAGCTGCATTTGTGATTCCAGTAGGCGAGGTTTGTCACTCTTATTTCTCTTTCTTTTTTTTTAAATCTTACAATTTTCAATATGGTACATCTTATATTTAAATTTTTCTTTAGGTCCTTACATTGTTCATCTTTGAAGAATTATTTTATTCACAAGGCTTGCATAAATAGGAAAGTGAAGAAGGTAATGCCGAAAACACCGAGAACTGGTTTTCACTAGCATCTGCACAACGAATATGTGGTGAGCTTATTTAATATTTGATTTCAACACATGTAACTTTCTTATTTCAAAACTCAGAAAAAAAAATCATGTGTAGATACGTTTCTTGACCTTGATAAAGATGGAAATAGCACGTTAGACCAAGAGGAGCTTCAAGGATATTCAAATGGGACGTTGACAATATTTTTATTGAGAGAGGTAGTGAAAAAAGTGAATAATATTTCAAATGATTAAATGCAAGAAATATCAATGTACTATGAACAAATTCTTAAATTTTTTTGTACCTTGTAGCATTTAATGAGCATGTCCACCATGAAGTAAGTTGTTTTCTTTTGCTCTAGTGTAGTTTTAGTCAGTTGATAATTTTATAAAACCGACCTTAATTTATTTACATTTTTTCTATAACTTACCTTCGTGCTCTAAGTAACTAATTGGTGATTGTTCTTTTCCTATTTATTATTTGGCACACAACATTATTATTAAGGGTGTTAACTAAAACATACAAAGCATTGTGTATGGATTAATGGTCGTCTGACCATTTATATATAAACTATGTTTTAAGCAGGTTAGAATGGAGAAATTAGGAGATAGAATTGCATCGTTTCAACAGATATGGGAACCATTAGGATATCATGACTGCAAAATGCCCAGAGGCCAAAAGGAAGAACAAAAACAGAGATGTAAATAGACAAGAGTCAAAACCATACATAGTCATTCGATTTCTTTCTTTATTCCACTACCCTTTCCATTTTGTTAAAGCCACCACTTCCACTAAAAAAAATTCAAAATGACCAAAATACCCCTACCTTAAACCTAAAAAACACTGATACTTTGTTAGGTAAGTACCAATTTCATGATCTTTCATTTAATCCCTTCACACCAGAAAGACATGATTCGTTTAGCCCTTGATTTTGAATATTAATTTAGAAAAAGGACATTGAAAAGTAGGATACTATTTTGTGACATGGCTTTGTGAAACTTTGTGCGCAGGTGATGACTAAAAGGACAAATGTCGTTGGAATGAAGCACTTTTGTGGGAGACGGTTCAATGCTTACAAGGACTACAGGGGATTTAGGAGGCCATATGTATCTCCTTATTTATGTTCCCTGTATGGATGCGAGCTAGCTTCTCATATTTCACTTCAACAAACAACAACCTACTTTAACGTCCTGCAGGTGCTTATCGCCTACCTCTGTGAGGTAGGAGATTTCATGGAAGCAGTCCAAACCAGAATTGAAGAAGGATTTGCCGCAGAAGACAAAACAGAGTACACTAACGTGAGTTATGAAATTCTGAAAAACATACTTGAAGAGGCCAAAGTTGAGGACCTCTCCATGCAAGACAATATCTCCTTTATGCTTGAATCAATCCACAAAAGGATTGGAAAATACAAACATGTAATGAAGGAGGCGTCGGATAAGTAGAAGCTAACACTAGACCTACTTTCTATCAATGTTTTTATCCGGTAGGTTTAAACGAATGTAATGAACTCCGTCTTCACATCAAATAAACAAGACTTCACGTCACTTTCTGCATACTCCCGATTAAAAAAAATATACGCATGAACGTCTTCTAACCCAACTCATTACAAAAATAGCAAGTGAAAACATGAAAAATTCCTCGTTAATTCTTAACAAATATTGTCAATATATTTCAAAACCACAGCAGAGGCAATTGATAATGGGAAGAAAATCATCAAAAACTTACCAACCCCCGCAAAGCGGGGGATCCTTTACTAGTTCATCCTGTTTATTAGAATGAAGATTAGTTAACTTTTTTGGTTTGTGACACAAAAAACTTATTGCGAAAGCTATGAGTTCAAAAATTAAAATCACTAAAACTAAAATCTCTATCAGATTTTTTTGCTTTAAAAAGATCTAATACTCGATCCCCAAATATCTGCATCTTTAGTGATATTAGGGAATAAGCATGTATAGACCTACAGATCAGATCTGCAACTTCCGTCAGGATCTCCAAATATAATCTCCAAACGGTATTCAATAAGAAAGGAACTAGATGTCAGATTTAGACGAATGAAACGTTACTAGATATAGCATAAATTGGAAAGTTGAGCAGTAAAAATTTATTGGAATCGAAACAATTACATAAGGAAACGTTATATAAATTTACCTTTCCAAGCATCAGATACATGGGCCTCCGACAAACCCACAAAACCAACTCTTGAAATGCTATCACTACTAGAAAACATGGCGTTTTCCTACGGAAAATAGCTACGGAAAATTTCCGTAGCTAATTAGCTACGGAATCGCTACGGATCAGCTATAGAATGGGATGCCCTAGTTTAGTAACGGAATAGCTACGGAATAGCTACGGATGCGGGTACGTAGCTATTCCGTAGCTAATTAGCTACGGAATAGCTACGGAATAGCTACAAATGCAAATCCGTAGTTATTCCGTAGCTAATTAGCTACGGAATGGCTAC